AATTCCCTTTTTCATCCCCTCTTCCCCCTCTCTTGATCTACTTTGTTTTTGTTTTTGTATTTTTGCAAACATGTTTACATTTCTTGTTGAACTTGGTACATATACATAATATACCTTAATTCATTTTATTATCCACTTTCCTCCTTCCTTCCTCACCTTCCTCCATCTCTTGATTCCCTTCCTTTTTGAGAAAGATCTGTCTCCCAACTTCCTATTTTTGTATTTTGCTCTTTATATTTACTTTGATTTCTCAGATGAAAGAAACCATGTGATATTTAAACTTGTGCATCTCATTTAATTCACTTAACACTATGGTCCCAAGGTATATCCATTAATAATCTATGTTTTAAAAGATTGTTTTTTTTTTTTCATTTGCCATTTCATTAATTTGTTGTTGTTGCTGTCACTATTACCAGTGTTGTTTTCCTTTTTTAGAAAAAGTTATTTTCAGGTTTACGCTCAAATTCACATTTTAACATGGAAGGATTTTAAAATCACTACAAAATAGGGTATATTCTGCACTGGGAACTCACCCTATAACTCTTTCATGGTTGCTACCACACTTAAAGATATTAAAATGTTTCAAAAAGTTATCCAGAAAAATTTTAAAAGGTAAATGTTCTCTAAATATTTCAAAGAATTTGAAAGCACATTGACTTATTTGTAGACATTTTTGGGAGAAATACTATAGCATTTTATGTATCTACATAAAGAGAACTAGGGCCAAGTTATAGAAGGGAGAGGAAAACTTAGGCTTCTTGGGAAAAAGCTGCAGAAATTTGTTCCATGGTGTGAGAATTAGTTGTTATTAGCTTTGTAGGACAAAATAACAACAGCCTATTTGGAGTGTTGTAGAAGAGATTGTTCTACTGAGAAAAAAAAAAACATATTTAGCTCAAATTTAATGTCCATAACTAAACTTCTATAGCTCCAAAAATTCCATAAAGTCTCAGAAGATACAAACCCAATATAATTAAAGGGGAGTGGTTGAGCTTACACTTGGTACCTCTGGTCAGAGTTCTTAGAAATGCAGGCTACAATAAGTAAGGAATACCACTGAGCTTCCCACAGTCAAACCTTAAGGGCAAAGGAATATCAGATCTGGAAGCAAAAGTACAACAAATACAACTAGGAAGACAAAAATTGTCTGTGGAGCTTGTACAGATTTAAGAAAATATCAAAACTGAAAGAAAAATTTAGAGAAACCAAAATATTCTTGGTAAATCTAATGTAAAATATGATAATCTTATCTTTTTAATGAAATAAATAACATTAACTTGAAAAAATTTGTAGACCACATTTTCAATTTTTTAATATTCCCTTATAGTTTTCCTAAACAAGTTATTTTTTATTTAATTCATTAAAATTACTGGTACATTTTAGGTACAATATGATCACATTCATGGATGGGAATTTGTACCTGTACTTGATATGTCTTGGTTCTTATTTTTTCCCATTCCCTCTCCTTTACCCCCTCCACCTCTTCCTATTTAACACTGTGAAATAAAAATATTTTGCATCTTGCAACTTCTATACCAACAGAAGCAGTTAAAATGTATTTTTGAGAACTATTTTTACTGAATCTGTGGAAATATTACAGATTTCTAATGAATCTTAAAATATTTTTAAGAGCACATTTCTCCTGTGAAGCCCCAAATGGTAACATAAATTCTCCTTTAATTTTTACTTTTTTTTTCATTCCAAAGGATGAGTATGCATCATCCTCACACAATTCAATTTTAAAGAAGCAAAACCAGGAAGCTATTAATTTCACCAACTTATTGATAGAGAAAAATGACACTGGAAATGAAGTATGAAATATTACATCTCTCCACTATTAATTGTATTATATGTCAAGCTCTTGTTCTCTAAAAACAAAAAAATGAATATTAGGAACAAAGGAGGTTAAGAGTAGGAAAATATTCATTGATAGGAAAGCTCCTGAGGGGCAAGAGTGGGCCTTGAGTGGGGAGCCCTGAGGACTCCACTTTACAGAAGAATATTATAGCATGGAACCCATGTGGGTACAACATGTGGCTACAGCCATATCGATAAGGTTACAGGTCTAGTCACTTAAGTAATAGAGGTCCAATTGGAAAACAAGTCATGTAACAAGTGTGGTGGCTGATGTCTATCTAGACTTCATTAGGCACAGTGTTTGTTCTTTGAAGAAATATACAGGTCAGGTCATCTTGTCTTTATCTTGACACCAGTTTCTGACTGATCTGTCCAGGCCACAGTGGTGGAATATTTCACCTTTGCCCTGGCTCTCTCAAGGACCTAGCCTTATTATTTAACTCTGCTGTCTATAATATTATTGCTCTCTTTCTTACACATACTTTTTTATTCCTTGTGTAGGCAATAAAAAAATGTAAGAAATTAATTTATGACCACTATACATATGCAATTAAACATTTCTAAAGGTGCTAAAAATCAAAACAAAACAAAACAAAAAACATTGCGATAGGTGATGGAAAACATGTAGATAAATGAAGAAAAACTTGCATTACAGTGAGGATATAAAATAAATAAAAGGTAGGGCAGGGGATTTAGCACAGTGGTTCCTCAGGCTGCCTTGGAAGCACAGGGACCTGAGCTCAAACCCCAGAATGGAAAAAAATAAGAAAGAAAGAAAGAAAGAAAGAAAGAAAGAAAGAAAGAAAGAAAGAAAAAGAAAGAAAGAAAGAAAGAAAGAGAGAGAAATAAAAGTTAAGAAAGAAACAAGGAAATCGTAACTAAAAATTATACAAGAAAACTGCAACTTTTGGGCCTCAGTTGACGTTACCCAGTGTGATCCATTATCAGCATTACTAGGTGAAATTTAGCCTCCTTTCCTTCCAAACTCATCATACCCCAAATTCCTAGGAATATTGAAAGTTCATAATTTGGTTTAATTGAGAAAGTAAAGAGCAGAAATCTAATTCTAAGGCAAAGGAGAAGGTTGAGAAAACCCAAAGAATGTATAAATTTTCTATTTAAAAACACTGAGCTCATAACTGCAGAGTGCTCTACTACCATTATGGCAGTAGGCCACATTTTCCGGAGGTTTCCTCTGCCTCAAGAAAAGCATATCCTGCATTCTGTTTCTCTGAGTGTACACTTTTTAATTTCTGCCTAATAAAACCTGTGGCATTCCAGCTGTCACAACATGAACATACCTGAGTTGGTGAGTGAGGACTGAGAAAGGAAAGAACACGCAAGCCTGAGTGGAGACCAAGAGAAGTCTGATATATTTCACAGAAACAGTTTCTTTTAAAGGCTTACATCAACAGGAAGCTTTTAAGGTCACACAACAACAGGAAGCACCAATCAATTGTTTTTATCTTTATGTAAAGACCGGATTTCCTGACTCTAACAGATAACATCAGATCTTTGGCTAAGGAGTTCCTGTTATCACAGGGTCAAAAAACAAAACAAGCTTAACAGTGTCCTTGAAAAGAAACAAATGTGAGCTGGGGATTAGCTCAGTGGTTTGGTGGTCTGCCTTGCAAGCACAAGGACCAGAGTTCAATCCCCAATACCAAAAAAAGAAAAGAAAAAATGTTATATTGCATCAATGCCTTAATTATAGAGAAAGAAGTTATTTTCCAAATGTCAAACTCCAATGGGCCATGACTGGGCCCCCACATATCCCCCTTTTTATTATATTTAGAGCAGGGACTTTCCCAGCTCAGCAGAAAGACTGTGCCTGTCTTAGGTGAGAAATGTCCAGAAAAATCCCTTACCCATCATCAAGCCATGAGAATTCTGATACTCATGCTCTGTCTTAGGTTGGATATTTCTCTACACTTCTCTTACTCATCTTTGACTACCAGCCTCTGTAGGGGTTAGACCGTAGGTATGGGAGGCTTAATGTGCAATTGTAAGTCGTGAGTCTTTCCTGCCATGTTCATCAAAGATGAATTCACCATGCACACTAATATGGGTAATATAACACATCCTAGACATACTCTTATCCCAATTGCAATAACAGGATCTAACAATTGGGTGACTGATGCCATGGAAGGTAAGACCTCTTTTATCTGATTGATAAAACACTGAGCATCTTGTACTGCATCAAACTTTAAGGAAGTAGCATTCTGTAGATCCAAAATTTCTTGATGTAACTATTATATCTAGGGAGGTATTTTGATTTTACCAAATACCTTTCACATGCCTTTGTATGTTCTTCCAATCACAGATGGAATTATTATATAACTTATTGGTTACACAAATCCATTTATAACCAGGGTGACACATCAATTGAGAACAAAATTTCAGTGCCCGTATTTCTACTATAAGGGTAACTTAATCATATAATGCATATATCTTTTGTTCTAATCTTTGATCTAAATCTACTTGAATAGTTACAGTATGAGTCACATTTTCATCTAAAACATTAACATATTGAGCATCCTGAATTTCTTGTGCCAAAGCAACTGCAACAGTTGTGGCTGTAGCTATTACAATAATAAGAGCTACAATTCCCCACAATAACCAATCCCATCACTCTTTTTTTGTCTACTTAATGCTTTCTCAATTACCACTAACATTCATAATCCTTGATCTACATACCAGGTTTCATTAAGTTGAACAGATATCATAACAAAGAGATGTTGTCTCAAAACCATCACAGAATGAAAGGAAGTCATGATTTCTGAGAATATACAATTGGTCAATTTACAATTAAAACAGCTGCTGTTATATTCATTATCAGTTTCTTAAGCAATCTCTATATTTCTTGCCAATAACATATAAGGAGCATTAAAATAAGACATTATCTTTTTCTTTTGTTCTTTGACTTGAGATAACACAGTATTTATGGTATTTCACATATTAAAGGTCCCTATGTTAAAAACATTGAAACTAAGGCTAGTAACTTTGACATCTGATCATAAACATATTTCTCCTAATGCAGCAGCAAGTTTCCAAATGTTGGTTTGAGAAAAACCTGAATTTGTCCACCAAAGTCCTACAGACATGCTTAAGTCTGTGGAATTTCCAAGTCATTAGTCTAAAAACTTTTGAGATGTGTCATTAAATATCAGGCATATAAGCCCAATATTGCTGGATGTAGATTTGTCAGAATGATCCACATGATGAACCAATCTCTCTGGTAACCATTGAGCTCCATCATGTTCCTGTGAGAAAACACAAACATATCCACAGCCCCATATTAAAATGGGGTCGGGTCCATACCATCGACCAGTTAAGGGATCTCTCCATTTTACCAAGGTATATGGAGAACCTTGTGGAGAACCTTTCTGCTGCTGAATGGCCATGCTTATCAATTTGTAAAAAAATTAAAATATAGGTAGCATGATTTAAATCTTTTCTGTGTGAAGAGGGGTACAATTCCCCCTTTTTTTATTTTTTGTAGTTGCACCTTTAATAGTGGGGAACAGGGAGAATATCTAGATCAAAAGATCGTCATAAACAATATGTTGGAAAACCTGCATAGTCAAACAACATGAATACATTTTTGTATACCAGAAAAGTAGCAATAATAATTATTATAATTATATGAAATCTTATGTCCTGTAATGTAGCTTTGTATCAACAGGATTTTCTTTTTTTTTACAGAAAATATATTTTGAAGATAACCATCATAAACATGTTACAATAACACATTTAGAATTCAGCCTTTTGATGATAACCAATGTAAACATTTTAACAACATATTTTCACAAGGTGTATCTTTTAATAATGCTATGAAAATTATTTGGGTTCCCATTAATGAACAAAGATCAGAATAAATTTTCTGAGCAGCTGCTTATTTACCAACAAAAGTGTACCCAAACTTCAAAGGTTATATTTAATTATCTTTAAGGGTTTGTTTTTTTTTTAATCCTATAAAGCCAGGTTGTAGAAATCAACAATCTACTTGTATTTGATGTCATTTTGATCAAAAAAACATAATTGAACAAACACTTTCGAACATTTAAGACATACAAACATATAAGACAATTTAAACTAGAGTGCACTCAGATGGTTTTGGCCAATTGAATTATAAAATCTTTTAGTTATGACTAGTCAAAACTTTTACAGGTCAAAATTAACAGAGATCTCTTGTAGAATTAGGGTTAAAGGAATGAAAGCTCTTCTTGACTGTAAGTTAAACCTTTTATAACAGACTTGAAACCAATAAGCAAGCATAAATAAATCATTTCCATACATCTTCTCTACATACTTAGGTAAAGACAAGACCAACATACAATAACCTTTCATATTAAAACTATAACTATTTCAAAAAGGGAAGAAAGGAGCTAAAGGTGTAGGGAAGGTGGGATAAGTAGGGGAAGGGTAATAAGGGAAAAGAAAAAAATGTGAGATAATGAAAAGATGGAAATAAAGTATTTGTAGATGGGGAGGGGAGGAGGGGGTGAAGGGGGGGCAGGAGTAAGGGGAAAAAATGAGACTCAAGACTTGTCATGTGGAGGTACAAGATCCCAACAATGAATGTAACTGTACTGTATCCCTAAAATGTACGAAGAAACTCAATTAAAACAGAAAAAAAAGTATAACTCTTACTTATAGCTCTCCTAATATTTTTCTATCTCATTTATTATTAACCTTCTATAACAAATTTCAGTTTAAAGTGTCCTTTTTCTGTTCTCAGATTGTTACATCTTACAATTTGACTGGCTGCCAATAGAACAGTATTAACTCTGAGTTTTTTTAGAAAAGAACAAGTTAACCCTATAATTGCAGTGTAAGAATTTGCAATGCACAAGAAGTGTTACCAAAGCTAAATAGTTTTCACTAGCAGCTGATTGTCATAGAGCAGAAGTTTGAGCAACTCCTAGACTGGAGCAAAAGAGGCCAAACAGAATGTAAGACAAAGGCTTATGAAAACCAAACTGAAAGAACCAGGGACTCTGTCAGGGAATCCTCTTAATCTCCTCTTCCAAAACCAGAAGTCTGCCTTGACCAGAGGGTTCTGAGGAGGGGAAAAAAATCAACCTCCTTCCCAGTAAACAGAGAGACAGAGTTCCTACCAGAGGAGCAAAGGACCTCTCTGGACCCTGTGGTGGGAAGTCCACTAGCAAGTCTGCCTGGACCTACCTCCCCACCTCCAAAATGATCCAGATCACAAATTACCAATTCAGACATTAACAGGAAGAGAAAGACACAGAAGCAAAAAAGAACAAGTACTAGCTCAACACAGTAGGGATCCTCTAGGGTTAGCTGTACCCATCCTTTTCACTTTCATGTCTTGGATCCAGACTATCTCTAATAAGAGTCCATAAGCTGAAAGCATCCACAGGTACCTTGCTAGGTCTGTGTGCAGCATAATAATCTTGTAATCATTTTCCTACCGTACTCCAAATTTTTAGATTTCCCTCCTCAGGAAAACAAGGACAAACTATTTCTACAAATTCTAAAATATTACACAATTGCTGGTGCCCTACTCTAGCACCACTGACATGCAATAAATCTTTAAGCATATGTACAAAAAACATGCAACTATTGCCAGCTCCCATTTTTAATATTTACAAGAAAACTCACCGCTCCTCTTTTGCCTTCCTTTTGAAGGTCCTCTGTTTTCTTTTTGTCGAGGTCTCCTTTTATTCTTTATCCAGCAGTGTCCTTCAGTGGATCCCTCAATACTCAGGTTCCTGTTCGAGTGCCACTTGTGGTGGTCCAGCCGTCACAACACGAACATGCCTGAGTTGGGGAGTGAGGATTGAGAAAGGAAAGAACAGGCAAGCTTGAGTGGAGACTAAGAGAAGTCTGATTTATTTTACAGAAACAGCTTCTTTTAAAAGCTCACATCAACTGGAAGCTTTTAAGGTCACACAACAACAGGAAGCACCAAGCAATTGTTTTTATCTTTATGTAAAGACCGGATTTCCTGGCTCTTACAGATAACATCAGATCTTTGGCTAAGGAGTTCCTGTTATCAAAGGGTCAAAGAACTAAACAAGTTTAACAGTGTCCTTGAAAAGAAACAAATGTTACATTGTATCAATGCCTTAATTGTACCGGAAGAAGTTATTTTCCAAATGTCAAACTCCAGTGGGCCATGACTGGGCCCCCACAAAACCCTTCCATGTCTCTTACTGAATAGTCTTGAAAATTCATTATTCATGATGCAAATCAGCAAATCTGCAAACTTATTCTACATGAAGTATTGTTTAGGTTCCTTATTTCAACTACAATGACCACAGAACCAGTCTGGTGAAAATAGAAAGGAATTTTTTTTTTTGAGATATAAATATATACAAGTATAACTGAAGTACTAAAAACAGGGTAAGTGAACAATTAGTTTAAAAAATACAATGTATATCTCTGTATATCTTTGTAGAAGGCAAGCTACATAGCAGAGATTTCTTATCAAATAATGTACTCTCCCCAAAATTGTAAATACATGCAAATCAAATAAAATAAACTATCGTGAAACTAACATATTCATTTATCTTAACAAACTAAAATTAACCAAATTCACTACAAAAAAAATAGGTAAATGAAAACCCAGATTATATTAGTGTAATCAGTCCTAACTGTACTCTAGATATGTTTAAAGAACAATGTTTCTTTCATGTTGCAATAACTTTTTCAGTTTTATAACAAAAAGGCAAACACAAAGTACATGTACAATCTTTCTTTTCACTCTGTATTTTAGACCAAGCTCCACATTTAATAACTAATATAATATTTACCAAATCATTTCTGTTCTTTGCTTCATTCATTAAACATATATTTATTGAATACTGTTTAAATTTTCGATGTCTGTTGTAACTAATTACCACAAGTTTGATAGATTAAGCATACTCATTCATTCACTCATTTGCAGTTCTAGAAGTGAGAAGTTTGATTAGTTTTACTGGGATAAAATTGAGATATTTTCATAGTCATTCTTGGCTGAGAAGTCAGAGGTAACTTATTTTCTTGCTCATTCAAGCTTCTAGACTTGGAATGCATTCCTAACATTCCTTTAGTCTCTGTTCCATCTCCAATCCACAAAGCCAAGAGCGGATATTTTACTTCAGTGGTGACATTTCCACTTTATCTTTCAAAGCTCCCTTAAGTTCCCTATTATAAAAATACTTATGATTACATTAGGGCTCACTTAGATATTTTCAGGACCCTAATCACATTGGTCAAGCTCCTTTTGCAAAATATAGCAACATCATAGGTTCAGAGGATTAGGACAACCTGTGGTGTCATCATCTGCTCTACTATTAGCAACAATTATGTGTTACCTATTAAGAGATGTAGTATGAATCAGGTAGTATCCATGTCTGCATTCATGGTGTTTGATAGTCTCATACACAACACAGATTTGCCTGCTTTTTTACTGAGTGCTCTAACAGAGCTTATTTTACAAAAGGAATTAATTATCTATTTCTTAGAATAAGTAGGAACAGAAAATTACTTGCAGTCTGTCTTATTTAAGTAAAGTGCAAGTGGGATCATCTATTTTGAGAGATAACCCGGATTTTGTTGACATTGGAAACTGTTCCATGTTCATGGCAAGAAAAGGGGATGTTATAGCAGGAGTTAGATCAATTTGGTCAAAGAACCTATGGTATCTTGGAAAGGAAAAGAAAACTGTTTTATCTGAGAAAATGGTTATGTGAAATCCACACTTTAAAGGGTATAACATCTGGGGCACGTCTGATTATGGCATAACATTCATGTTCAGTCATAATACACGGTTTCCTTCCTTCAAAGGGCTGAAAGGCTCTATATCACCCTTTGTAGTGTTGTCCCCTCTTAGGAGGTGCTGCATCTTTCTGCTAGCCTAATTTTCAAATACAGAAATGACCCTGCCTCAACTACTGTGATGTTTGAATGCAACAATGTGTCCCTCAGGAGACACAGCCCATAACTAGTCTGGAGTATTATAGCACTAACAGCACTAGTCATATGTAACTTTCTCTCATTCACCAGGGAAATGACCCTGGAACCCTCTTATATCTCTAGGTCTTGAAGTGCATTGGCCTACAAAAACACGCAAATCAGTGTATGTAAATTTTCACTGGAGGAATTTGTTTAATTAGTAATCATCTACATTGAGTTTAATCCTAGAGTGTGAGTCAAGGCTGAGAAGCACCTAACCCACTGGTCAAGAAGTCCCCTAACCACCCACCTGTGGCCAGTAGAAAACCAAAAGAATTTACAGGACTCCTATATTTTAGTCATCACCTTGCAAGGCTGGTTTCTTTTATCTGTATCACAGTTCATAAATTTACATGTATGGAGTTCGACTGGATTCTTTGCTGTCAGAATGCTAATGGTACTCTGGATCTCTGGGGGGCATGTGTTAAAAGGATTAGGACATTAGGGAGAAGAGAGCTGCTAACAACAGGTGGAAACTTTTGTGTTCTACACAGGGGATTTAGAGTCATATCTGAATGCCAAACTGTGTCACAGGGTATCCTATTTATACTTGCATAAAGCAAGATGTGATATAAAGAACAGGTCAATTTAATTGATGAAATAATAAAAGTTGAATAAGATTGCTACCCCTGCTTTTGTATACTGAATAGTTTCTCTGGTGTGAAAAACTATAATGGTACACAAGATCCTAATGGGATAATTAACAATGTGAAATAGGAAGAAAAGGGCTAAAGGTGGGGAAAGTGGGAAGGGTAGGGGAAAGGGAATAAGGGAAAAGAAAAAAGTATGAGAAAATGAAAAAATGGAAATAAAATGTTTTAAATGGGGAGGGGAGGAGGGGGTGAAGGGAGGGCAGGGACAAGGAGAAAAAATGAGAACCAAGACCTGTCATGTAAAGGTACAAGATCCCAGTAATGAATGTAACTGTACTATATACCTAGAATGTACCAATAAACTCAATAAAAAGGAAAAAAATAAATGTAGTTGAGATTAAAAAATATCTAATAGAATAGCCATGGAGAAAGCAGACTTAATATAGACTTTGAGGCATATTGTAAAAATGTACTTTTGCTTACAGATTTATTTTCATTCATTTTGTTTTTGTTCTATGTTTGTTACTTTGGATCTTAAACAAAAATTCTGATTTTGGAAGAATGCCATACTGTATGCTTTGTATCCTATTGACCATTAAATACACCAAAAGGGCTGGCTTACATTTCAAGACAATAAGGAGGCAGTAGCATAGGTTAAGTAATCAGACTACCTCAACCAAAAATTTGAATTTTGAGGAAAGGAGCTAAGTAATGCAGGCAGAGTTGAGAAGCTACTGGTGCCAATGTAAACAGTATTGAGAGAGCAATGTATCCTGCAAATGGTAGTGTCCTAATCTGTACCTTTATGTAAGGCTGTGTACTCAATTTCCTAGCCTCTTTTGGTTCCTAGAGATTGTCATTACCTAATATACTCCATGCTGTACTCTATAACTTTTCATGTGGTCTATTTGTGTTTAGGTTTGCCATATTTAGATTTTATAGCTTATAACAAAAGTTCTGATAAAGAAATGGAAAATAATCAAATTTTTAGGTGAGAGGAGTCTTGAGCAAAGATATAGGATAGGCCTGTTTTGTCTAGGAAGTTCTAATGAAACTTCTAGGACTGGAGGAAAGAGAAGAGACATAACATATTCAGGACACAGATAGTAAGACCCAGTGAAATGGAAGAAAAAGATGACCTGAAATTTTATAATCATATAAGCATTTCCCTAGGTCTAGGAAAAAAAGGAGAAGCACTTTCATTACTAAGATCAAGATGGAGATGATGATGATGATGATGATGGTGATGGTGTTGGTGGTGGTGGTGATGATGATAAGTAAATAGCTGCTGCTTTTTTAGCCACAAGGTAAGATTCTGTGGAGTGGGAGATATTATAACAATCAATGATATTTAGGAAAAACTAAAGGCTATGGTAGTTTATTGTGTTAGAATATTGATGAGAAATTGAATATTGATGAGAAAAAGAAATTAATGAGAAACTTTTGCTGATATTCCCCAATGCATTCTGTCCTTTTAAATTTTTTTTCTCGCACTCTTCATTACTGATCCTCATTGATACAACACATTTAAAATGTAACTTATATGCAGCTCTATTTCCTTCTAAGAATTCATCTGTTAGAACAAAGGCATATTCTTCCATTGTTATCTTTCTATCTATCTATCTATCTATCTATCTATCTATCTATCTATCTATCATCTATCTTTTTGCAGTACTGGGGATAAATACAACACTTTGAGCTTGTGAGGCAGGCACGGAGCCACTGAGCTAAATCCCTGGCCCGCTATAGGTTTAATTAAAACAATAAGCCATAAATATTTGTTGACAGAATAGAGAGAGAGGGAAAGAAGTAAGGAGTAGAAAAGAAATTCTTCATTTACTGCCTTTTCCTCAGATCAGTATAGGTCACAATGCATACATTCTTGCAGGTTTTTATATAGTATTAGATACATATATTTATATATATATTTAAAATGTATAAAAATGAACTTCTATATCACTGTACTAATTATCTATTTATCTTGGACACTTTTCTAATCAGTACTTATAAATGCACCAAATTCACTACTAGTTCCATTCATTTAATCTAACTTTTAAAACATATGAGAAATAGAGTAGACTTGGCAGTAACTATGTCTGACACAGATTTGAAAATGTCAAGAATTAGTATGTAAAAATATTACTTATATGATAATAAGACCAAAATAGTGTTCCACTCCCCACCAGGGATATAGAAAAAAAATAATGTATACAAAAACGTGTTGAAAAAAAAGTTCTGTTGAATGAGTAAAAACAGAATACTGACAACATATCAATGTCAAGTCAATATTTTTGTCCTGTAGCAGAGATGTACAGTGCAGTCAGAGTTACAAATTGGGAATTTTTCATAACCCCAATTTAGCTTACAAACACTGCTATGCAATGAATCTCACGCACAGAGGGAGATGCAATAAAAATCTATTTACCCTAGTTTATTTACATTGGAAGAAATAAATACCCTGTTTTTATATAAGTGGGCATGCATTCATATACTATAAAATGAAATGCCTTCTCTATCATCCAACATAAGAAAACCTATCACATTAAAACAGAAAAGAATAATTACTCAAACAGATGAAGAAAAAGCATTAGATCAATTAAAGGGTCACTCCTGGTAAGAATAAATAAATAATAAATTAATTAATTAAATAAAACATTTAGTAATTAGAAATAGAACATTCGATAATCTTGATAAAGTAGCAATTGAAATGCCACAGCAAACATTATACATCATGATAAAATTTTAACAGCACTGCAGGCAAGTCAGAAATAAGATAAGACATTTATCATTACTTTCATTAAACACTGCTGGAGGTTATGATAATGCATAAGAAAAATGATTACAAACATTACTATTCTCTACATTGACCACTGAGAGGCATAACAAAAAAAAAAATGAACTATCAAAAAGCTCAGTGTCACTTCCGGATATGAGACCAACATATAACATTCAATATTTCTTGTATATAACATTAATAACCAATTTAAAAAGATGTGATTTGGTGCTGTAGATCAAACCCAGAAGCTCATTCATGTTGAGAAAGCACTCTATCACTGAACTATTAAATTAAAGAAAAATCTCCAATTTTAGCAATGAAACATAGGAAAATGTTTTAAATTGTAATGAATTACAAAACATTAAAGAATATAAAAGAAGAGGAGCAGCTAGTAAAATTGTTTTCCCAAATTGTGGATTGTTTTTAGTTCTATTGATGGTTTCTTTTAAAATGCAGAAGCTTTTTAATAAGATGAGATCCCAGCTGTTGATTCTTTCTGCTAGTTCCCATGCTATTGAGGATATGTTCATAAAGTCTCTTCTTATGCCAATGTCTTCAAGAGTTCTGCCTAACTTATCTTTCAGCAAACTTAGTAACTCTTTTTTAATATTTAGATCATTAATCCATTTTGATTTTAGTTTAGTGCATGGTGAAAGATAAGGGTCTCATTTTAATCTTTGGCAGGTTGAAATTCAGTTTTTCAAACACCATTTATTAAAGAGGCTATCTTTCCTCCAGTGAGAATGGTTGGTTCCTTTGTCAACGATGATGTGGTTGAGTACATCTGGAATGTTTCTGTATCTTTCAATCTGTTTCACTGATCCTCAGGTCTCTGCCAGTACCATACTGTTTTTATCATAGTGGTTTAGTAGTATAGTTTCAAATTGAGAATTGTTATACCAGTTGCCATGTCTCTGTTGCCTAGGATGGCTTTTGCTACTCTAGGTTTATTCTTGTTCCAAATGAATTTATGCATTAATTTTTTCTAATTCTGTGAAATATAGTGTTGGAATTTCAGTTCGCAGTGCATTGAATCTGTGTAGCAGTTTTGATAGTATGGCCATTTTCACTATGTTGATTCTTCCTATCCAGGAGCAGGGGATATCTTTCCATTTTTTAATATCCTCTTAGTGCTGTAGTTTTCAGTGTAGAGGTCTTTTGCTTCTTTTGTTAGATTGATTCCTAGATACTTCCTTCGTTTGGATGCTATTGCGAAGGAATTGTTTCCCTAATGTCTCTGTAATTATTTCTCTAATTTCTCTCCTCCATTTGTGTACACGAAGGCTATTGATTTTTGAGTGTTGACCTTGTATTCAGCTACTCTGCTGAAAGTGTCAACTAAGTCCAGAAGTCTTTTGGCAGAGTTTTTTTTTTTTTTTTATTTGGTTCTATGTCAAGTATCATATCATCAGCAAATAATGACAATTTTTACCAGCTGCTCCTCAGACAAAGGACTATTATCTAGAATATATAAAGATCTCAAAAAAATCAGGCCCCCAAATATAAAAACCCGATTCAAAAATGGGCATCTGAAATGAACAGACATTTCTCAGACAAAGAAGTAAAAGCAGCAAGTAAATATATGAAAAAACATTCCACATCACTTGTGATTTCAGAGATGCAGATGAAAACAACACTGAGATTCCACCTCACCCCACAAAGAATGGCAGCTGTCAAGAAATCACACAATAACAAATGTTGGTGGGGTTGTGGGGAGAAAGGAACCATTCTCCATTGTTGGTGGGAGTGCAGACTGGTGCAACCACTATGGAAATCAATATGGAGATATCTCAAAGAGCTGTGACTTGAGGTTCCATTTGACCCAGCCATCCCTCTGCTGGGTATCTTTTCAAAAGATTAAAATAATCATATCACAGTGATATATACTTACCCATGTTTATAGTGGCACATTTTGTAATAGCAAAAACAGCCCATTTGCCCATCAGTTGGAGCCTGGATAAAGAAGATGCGGTTTTTCTATAAAATGGAATACTACTCAGCCATAAAGAATGAGAAATTAGAGTCATTCATAGGAAAATGAATGCATATTGAGAATATACTCAAGTGAAATAAATAAGTCACAAATGAGTAAATACTGAATAGTTACTCTGGTGTGAAAACCTATAATTGTACATAAGATCCTAATGGTATAATCAACAATGTGAAATAGGAAGAAAAGACCTAAAGGGGAAGTTGAAAGGGTAGGGGAAAGGAAATAAGGGAAAAGAAAAAATATGAGAAAATGAAAAAATGGAAATAAAGTATTTGTAAACAGGGAAGGGAGGAGGGGATGAAGAGAGGGCAGGGGTAAGGGGAAAAAATGAGAACCAAGACCTGTCATGTAAAAGTACAAGATCCTAATGATGAATGTAACAGTACCGTATACCTAAAATGTACCAATAAACTCAATGAGGAAAAACAAAGAACATAAGAGGCTAAATCACCTGAATATAAATAAATACACAGTTTAAACAAAAATCCAGTCAAAATCCAAATCAGATTATAGGGGATGGCACTGGGGATTGATCTTAGGGCTTTCTTAGTGAGCTACATCCCCAATCATTCTTTTCTTTTTTGAGACAAGGTCTTCCAAGTCACTAACTTGTCCAGGCTGACTTCAAACCGTCCATCCTCTTTTCTCAGTTTCCCAGTGCTGGGATTAGGCCTGCACCAGAGTCCTATACTTTTCTCTATTTAAAATATTTCATGTTACAATTTTAGAAGAAATTAGTTAAAAAATCTCAAGGTGGTCAGGCGTGGTGGTGCATGCCTGTAATCCCAGCACTCAGGAGGCTGAGGCACGAAGATTGCTGCACGTTCAGGACCAGCCTGGGATACATAGTGAGTTCCGGGTCAGTCTCAACTACACAGTGAGACCCTGTCTCAAAAAAAAAAAAAAAAAAAAAAAAAAAAATTCTCAAGGTGGGGAAACTCTTCTAAACAATAAAGCACAGAGCATGCCATTGCAATCTAAAATGTTAAATTCAACAGTAAGCATCCTAAAACATAAAGGTTGCAATCATTGAAAGATACCATAAAAAGTGAAAGGACAATCCACAAATTCAGAGAAGATATTTGTAACAATTACAATTAGTGAGCAAATAGTTAAGCTATAAACATAAAATCATTACAAATTAAATTTCAAAACCAATCCAATAAAACATGGGCCAAATTAAGCCTAGACCTTTCACAGAAACCCTAACAGCCATAAATACATAAAAATGCAAATCTCCATGAACCAGGGGAAAAAAATGCAAATTAAAAGAAAAACAATTAAGTGTTATTTTCAGGCAATCCTTTCAAAGTATGACATTAACAAATGTCATAGATCATGATGTACCAAATTAGTTGATGTGAAATGGGTTTGTATAGCAATAAATTTCAAAACCTGAATGTGTAGTGAAAATAATTAGTTCGGAAGGGAAGGAATTGAACATGCACATTTATATAAAAGGCAAAACCATGAAAACTGTATTTTTAGGGACTTGTACTTATGTAACAATTTAGAAAAGCAATAAAATGATCAATCAAAATTCAGCATAACGGTAATGGCAAAGATGTGCTCTGGAGAAGACAATATAGGTATTTTTCTATTAAGCTCTTTGGTGGATAGTAGGATGTTATTATTCTTTAAAATGTGCACATGATATTATAATTATTTATGCAAGTTGTACAATTAAAATTAGTTTTAAAGCATCTACTGAGCTTTGAAGAAGGCTTCATTAATTTGTTCACAGAAACAAAGTCTAGCCTGTGAATCAATATGGCCTTGTTACTAGGTAATCCAAACAAAATATAATTCTCTTGGCTTCTAAAGCTGATGTAAGATGGAAAAATCCAGTTGTAACTTCTGTTTCAAACGTTCTTGTTCTTCTGACTTTTCTCGATTTTTTCTATTAAGTGATTTCACTACAAATATGATTTTTTAATACATTTGCAAATTTAAAATGTCACCTTTAAATGTCTACTTTGGCCTTCCAGGTAAAGGTTCATTTAAAGAAAAGCGGCAAAATACTGTAGCTTCTCAACTGAAAATAACCAGTGTACTCTGAACGCCAAACATTAAAAATCAAAATCAAACATTTGTCCTCTATAATAGAGCTTCCCAGCTAAGACTGAGAAGACAGAACTGAATCACCTCCACCATCTTCCGCCTTTTTCTTCCTTGCTCTCTGTCCCACAGGGTTCCCGATTTGGACCCGCCTCTAGCCCCGCCCATCCTTAGCCCCTCCCCGCGCCGCCAACCCCTCTCCACTAGGCTCCCGAAAAGGCTTGGGCAAGTGTTGAACAGGCGGGGTTGGTCAGCCTCTAAAGGGCAGCTCTTGGCTTTCTCTGTATTCCCGGTTGCCACAGCTCGGCCAGCCGAGTCCCTGCGGATGTCCTACGCTCCGATCCTGGTGAGTACCCACGGGACTCAGGGTCCTAAAAATGCGGCGGCGGCGCCGCGGTTCACACCGGCGCATGCGCTTTCGCCAGCCAGCCAATCGGGTCGCTGCTTTCCGCCCGCGCCCTTTGACCCCCGTCCCGGTCCGCTGTGCAAGGGGCGGAGGTCTGGTGCAAGGGGGTGCAGTCTGTCGGGTTGGACTTTCCTTAGGTCAGTTTTACAGCCTTATCCCGCGCCATCCTGGCCCCACCTGCTTCCTCTGTGCTGCCTCTTTGGATCGGAGCCTCCTGTAGCCTCAGAGGACCTTCTCGGGCGTTACCCCGGCAGCAGTTTGACGCTTCGGGACCAACCGCAGCCTTCACCGCGCTCTCCCTGGTCTGCGCGGCTGCGCTGGGCCTGGAGAGGCGGAGGCCCCGAGGAGCCAGGCCCACCGGCCCGGGCTGTGTCGCCGACTCCTCGGCCGCTTGGGCCTGGGGAGAGAATAAGGGTGGCGAGGCCACTGCTCAGATGGCTTCTGCCTTCACCCAGAGCGTGTTTGGCTCTGTCATTTTGGACTTTATCCTTTGCTAAGTCTGAAGGTCCAACTATACGAAACGAGTACTTTCTTTTCTCAAAATAAAACAAACCATAGGCAGTTGAAACAGTCTGTTTCATTTCATTGTTGCAAAACCCTACGGATAGGAAAAATAGGGAGGAGCTTTTAAAAAAGACAACAGAAGTGTAATATTTATTTTGTGAGTTTACAAACCAAATGTGGCTGGGCTGACAGTTTGCTCGCGTTAAAGTATGTGGGCAGAATAAGATAAAAAATACAAAATGAAATCAACATATTGCAAATACATTTGCAAGTTGTTTTCACAATCCATTACTTCCTTTCGTTGAACTGTGTGTAAACACTCAGAAAAATAGTGCCTTGCTGTGAGTAGGTAAATTTTTAGGGTCTGCTAACATTACCAGAAATGCTGCTGCTATTCACATGACGAAGTGAGTGTGTGATCAGAAACTAAGTAAACGGCCTTCGGATTAAGTTTGGGTTATGGTTCAAGGATTATGTAGAATTTAATCATTGTTTTTAAGTGCAGTCTTTGAATGAAACCTTGGCTAGATCAACACCCTTTGTCCGTGTCACAGAATTATTGTGGTATATTCTCTAAACTTGATTCTGCTACTACTTTCTAGGAAGACAAAGTATTAGAGCTACAGCTGAAGTTTTAAGGCCAGGCTTTGCCCCTTGCTGGTTGCTTAAGGTTATTTAGCCATTTGCTGGATCTGAAAGACTTGTAGAAGTTAATCACTTGTGCAGTTTTATCACTTGTAAATTGGCGTTGAAAGAAACTGCTTCAAAGATTGTTAGGAAGATTAAATGGATTGATAAAGGTCTGCCTAGTTGATTTACTGTGAACCAAAGGGACATGTGTTATTGTAAAACTCACCCAGGAAAGGATAACTGATCTGAAAGTTCCAGATATGTCTTCTATTAATTGTATTATCTCCAGTGACTCTATACAGAAGAAAACAGAAAAAGCATGAGGTGTCTGTATAATTTAAGTGGTAAGAGTTGAAAGATAGAAACTTTCTGGCTTTTCTTGCTTATATGATAGCAGAAAATACTTTTTAAGTAATAGTTGGTTATCACATTACCTTGAAATCTCCTGAGTCTCTTAGCTGAGTATACCTAATAATTTTTCATTGGACCTCATTAGACATTCCAGTTAAGTAGCTATTTTAAAAGATTTAAAACAAAACACATATAAGCACCATAGTTTCAAAAGAAGCTATTACATATAACTTCTGAGTACAGATGCTATCTGCTTTGAGAACCAATATAATCTGCAATTAACTGGACTTTTTGGTCTTCTTTCATGTAACTTCTGAAACATTTCTTTTGTTGAAACTAAATAAGTTTTTCCAAGTCTAACATGCAGTATCAGTACATGTTATAGGCATCTTTTGTTTGTTTGTTTGTTTTGGTTTTTCTGGGGGTTTTTTTGTTTTGTTTTTTTGAAACAGGGTCTCTTTTGAAAACAGGGTCTCTTTTGAAACAGGGTAGTTGAGACTGACCTGGAACTCACTATGTAACCCAGGCTGGTCTTGAACTCACAGTGATCCTCCCGCCTCAGTCTCCGGAGTGCTGGGATTACAGGTGTGCGCCACCACACCCGGCTGTTACAGACATCTTAAGGGTCATTGTGGTTTTGCACTTTTTAAAATCATTTTTATTTAAATGGCTTTAAATATTACAGAATCTTTATAGTTCTTTTTATATATTATATTCAGTATAGGTCCTAAACATACCAAGTGTGTATGTAGTCAGAAGAATGTGTTTATATACATACTGTTCAAATACATACCAATGTCAAAAGCAAGAGATCCAGAAACTAAATAGAGCTGAACAGTTAATTATCACTAATTATGTATGGAATATGTTGGCCTCTACTGGATTGTGAAGCTAACGACTCTGTTTCTAGGGCATATAAAATGTAAATAAATAGTCTGATGTAACATATAATGTAAGAAATACCAATATGATGTGTGGTTAATGCCTAGTACTAGTGACGATGAGCCTTTCAGAGATGAGCACCCAAACTGGAACCCAAGACCCACTTAATTTATTGCCAAGTGTCAACACTGTAATTAAACCTGAATACTCATATTATACTTTAGAAAAAACAACTTGCACATTAATATCTTTTGTCTTAAAAGCACAATAACACACATGCTATAGGCTTGCCACCATCTCATAGACTATTTCTAGAAACATAAGTTTTAAAAAAAGGCAGCATTTCAGTTTTATTGAAGTATGAGTGATATTTTTTAAATTAACCATATAAAGAGTAGACTATTAGAATAAACCATACACTTTTTTTATAATTGTTTAGAAAACACCTTTTTTAGTATTCTCATCACCATCAATAGTTATTTATTTAGTTTTATACTAAATCAGACATTATTCTAGTTTTACAGTATTACATTGCATTTTTATCCTCACAAAAACTGAGTGAGCTGACTCATTTTACAATGGAGGAAAGAAGTACAATTCAATCAGGTCACTTGTGTAGATCAGATAACTAAAAATGATACTGCTAGAATTGAACCTCGGCATTTTAACAAGAATAATTTTTAATCACAATAATCAGGTTCCTTTCAGTAGAAATGGCTTAATGTTGACCGAGATGTGGAGTTATGGGTAGAGCCAGTGGACCATCTGTGGATAAATGCAATATAAAAAGAAGAAAAAGGGACCAGCTTAAAAGATTACACTGACAAGTACTACTAATAATAAAAAAACCCCAGAAGGTAGTTTTCATAAATGCTTGTTTTTTTTATTCATGGATAGATGCAAAGAATGAAAATACTGTATATAAGAAATTTTCAGTGTTTCAATATTTCAACACCTAAGTCCTAAGTAGTATTTATTATTTGATTAAATATTACCTTTCATATTTTCTTTCACAAATAGATTCTTGAATGATTCATGGAATAACTATGTCAGAAGACAAAACTGATAGGCTCTTTTAAAAAAAATTTTTTGATAGGCTCTTTTTAAAGAAGAGACTGAGTTATGATTATACCAGTAGGTTCATCATGGCTGATTTTAACTTACCTTTTCAGATTTTAAAGTAAGTATTCTATTTTATATATTGAGTCTTTCATGTATTTCACCACTTAACTGAAGTCAGCATCTCAAACTCAAGTCTCTTAATTTCTAAATCCGATAGTATTGCTTCCATTACCTATGAATCTTCAACATTCATTAACATTGTTTCCTTATAATATACTTGCCCCAAACTTTTCTTTGTTATGAAATATTGTTCCAAGTTTAGAAGATAAAGAATACTGTTTTCTCACCTGTAGATAACTATATGTACCACACATATTTCTTTCCTCTGTGTTTATAGTTTATGTTGTAGAGATCAAATTATATACATATTTTTTCCTGCTTCATATCTTATCAAAAGTTTACTTTCTTTAAGAAAGAGGAGGATTTATCATTGTCATAGTAATTTGGATATTTCAGGATAACAAATTATAGGCATAGAACCAAAAGGCCATACAGTATTGTATCATTTTTCCTGGCCAACAGATTGGCCTGCCACATTCCACATGGAAATTTCACTTCTTGCAGTTGTGTAGTGCTGAACTTGAAAGACTATATAAGTTGGTCCTTCAGAAATAAGCAGATTTTATGTTAATAATTCTTGCTTTCCATTTTGCTGGTGGGATTCTTTTTTTTGTGTTTTCAATTTTTATGAACAATCCAATAATTCCCATTTTCCTAACTATTTTATCATGTTTGCCTATCAATAAAGATACAGTGATAACTCAGTTCATGAATGCTTTTGTTTGCAAACAATTTGGTTCACAAACAGAAGCATTTGACAGAATTTTGTTTCTGTTTAGAAACTCTGCATTGGGTGACAAACATGACCACAGCCATCTTTCCCATAAACACAAACCCAAAATTGTAGAACAAATGGTTTGTGAACTGAGGAACCACTGTACTCGCATTTACTTACATGTTACATTGTATTCTATGTAAAGTTGTCCCTGTGTACCTATAAGGGGATTAATTCCACAAACTCCTGCGGATACCAAAGTCCATAAATGCCTAAGTTTCTTATATAAAATGGTATAGTATTTGAATATAACCTGAATATTTCTACTTATATACTCTAAATCATCTCTGATTTACTTGTCTAATGCAATGTAAATACTGTGTAAATAATTGTATTTTTTAGGGAATTAATGACAAGAACATGTCTATGTGTTCATTACAGATGCAAGTTATTTTCCCCCAAATATTTTCCATCTGATATTGATTGAATCTGTAGATTCAGAACTCAGAGGTATAGGAGGGCTAATTATATACATTACAGTAGCCTGTGTATGTGTCTATAAGTATATGTAAATATACACAAACATATATGCATGTATACATACATGTATATTTTTTCTTTAACATCATGTCATGGGTCTTCATAAATAGGCAAGATTAATTTTTGAACAGAATACCACAGTAGTGAGTCTGCGGAAGTGCAGCCTCTCAGGAAATTCTATCTATATATTTACAGAAATTAATTTTGATTACTTGTTTAAGCTGGTATTTGGTAGATTCTCCATGGTTAAATTATGCTTTCCTTTGTAACTAATTAGATAGTTTTTGGAGAAGTACATTGCCAATCTGTGGTTTTCCTTTTTCTCATCAAATTTTTACTCCTTTGTTTTGAGTCTAATAATGATTTTTGCTTTTATGGTTAGTTTGTGTTTTAGTCCATTTTGTCTTGCTGTTATAACCTGAAACTAGGCACCTGAAACTAGGTAATTCATAAGAAACAGTAATTTAATCCACATTGTTCTGAAGGTTGGATAGTCCAAAATCAGGCATTAGCCAGACCAGCCACTTGGCGAGGTCTCCTTTCTACTTTTAATCTGGTACATCGATGCTACAGCATTTGAAGAAGAGGAGCTGTACGTGGTGGAAGAGCAGAAGAGGGCAAGTGGAATTCCCTCAAGCTCTTTTAATAGTGGCATTAACTTTTTTTGAAGGGTGGGCCCTTTGTGGCTTGAACATTTTCCCTTAGGCTTAATCCCTCAATAATACTGAATTAGGAATTAAGTTTCCAACCCATGAAATTTGGAGGACACATTCAAATCGTAGCATTTTGTCTATTTGTCAGAGTAATGTTTGATTATTTTTTTATGTACTGTCTTTTACAAATATTGTCTGCTTCTATTCCATTTCCAAGTATCATTTAAAATGCTTAATTATTTCCCTGCGGGTAAAGTTTTAATAAAAAAAAAAGATTTATGCAAATCCATTTTATTAGTATTAGACTTAAACATATTTTTAACTGCTTCCTTCTATTAACTCTGATTTTTAATTTTACACTTAGGTTCAGAAAATTTTCATCTATATAGATAGAATATTTCTTTTCTATATTCAGGATACATAAATTCAAGGAAGAAAACAATATATTTAATTTTAAGTAAAATTTGTAAAACTTTTATCAGACTAAATGTAATTGCATGCAAATGCTGGTATTTGCAAATCAGTACTTCAATTTAGTGTAGCATACAGTTATATGTAGATTCTTTTGCAGACATCAATATTTGATGATATAATTAATATAATGCATTTTACTAATTTTAAATGTGATAATTAAGGATTTTACTTTTCATTTTGAAGACATCGGAAAATATTGTTGCTACCACTTACTAATTATCTTTTTCAATAAATTACAGTGAAACATTTACGGTTTTGGAATTTAAAGGATGTCATCATGGCAAAATTTCGGAGAAGGACTTGCATCATTTTGTCACTTTTTGTTCTATTTATTTTCTCTCTGATGATGAGCTTAAAAATGCTGAGACCAAATACAGCTACTTTTGGAGCTCCTTTTGGACTTGACCTTCTTCCAGAACTTCATCAACACACTGTTCATTTGGGGAAAAAACTTGATTTACCAAAGAGTGACAGAATCAAGAGTGAAACCAATACCAAGAATTTAAAAAGTGTTGAAATCACTATGAAACCTTCCAAGGCCTCTGAACTTAGCCTTGAAGAACTGCCTCCTCTGAATTACTTTTTGCATGTATTTTATTACAGTTGGTATGGAAATCCACAATTTGATGGTAAATATATACATTGGAACCATCCAGTCTTAGAACACTGGGACCCTAGGATAGCCAAGAATTATCCACAAGGGAGACACAACCCTCCAGATGACATTGGCTCCAGCTTTTATCCTGAGTTGGGAAGTTACAGCTCTCGGGATCCTTCTGTCATAGAAACTCACATGAGACAAATGCATTCAGCTTCTATTGGTAATTATTCTATTTATGTTTGTGAGTATGTATATATACTGTATATAAATAATTGGTGGTGGAACACTAAGTCAGTATGTAGTCTTCACATTATTACATTTTTGAATTCATATCTCCAAATTTAAAATTGTATGCACTTTTAAAAAATCAGGTAACTGCCTGAATTTTTAAAAAAATTTAGTATCTTTAATGTATGTTGTTTACTTTCTAAAAATTTGAGTATTTAAATTTAAATTTAATATCTTTAATGTAAGTTGTTTACTTTCTAAAAATTTGAGTATTTTTATTGATTTCTAATTCTATTTCTTAGTTATCTAGAATACAGTGAATTTCCCCACTTTAAGTTAAAAGCTCAGCAGTTTCTCAAAGGTGTGCATTGTTTGCCGCCCGAATCAAGAAGTAAAATATTTCTATAGTCTGGAAAGTTATATCATGGTTGCCTTAGTCACCACCCCTTGCTATGATCTGATTTCTATCACTGTAAAGTAATTCTCACTCATTACTTTATGGAAACTGAATCCTCAACTTGTGTCTTGTTAGTAGAATATTTTTAAATGTACTTATGTTAAATATTCAATAGCGAGTAGATTTTGTTGATGAGTACTCTTCCATTATACAATTATAGGAAATTTGACTCTGCATTCCACTGTTGATAGACAGTTGGGCTGTTTCAAAGTTTAGAAATGTTGCATATGATTTTGTTTTGCTTCTCACTTTGTTTAAGCTACTCTCTCACAGTCTCCTTTTTTTATAATGTTTGTGTATAATGTAATGAAAGTTTTAAATGTGGCATTTGCTATTTTGTTTGCATGTGCCCTGTTTATGCTATTTTTCTTCCTCTTTCCTGCCTTCTTTTAACATTGAACATGTATGTTTTTCCATTTTATATTCTGCTCTGACCTAGTTCATATATTCATTAATTTTATTTGTTTTGTAATTGCTGTAAAGTTTACATTTTATACACCTTTGACTTCATTGATGAGACATCGCTGGCTATTATTATTAGTATTCCCCCTCAGCTTTATTTTCCCTTTCATTTTAGTTACATACATTTAGTCATATTGTCTTATTGGTGAAGTATATGAAAAATATAATTTGTTACCAAAAAAGCTTTTCTTTTCTTTTCTTTTCTTTTTTTTTTAGTATAACCTTCTGTAAAACTTTGCTGTTTCGATTTTGTCTTATTAGTGCTCCTAGTAATGGGACCACAAGAAGAAATTGGGTCCACACAGGAATTCTGATTTTTCTAGCTCTTCATAAATTGATATACTCATCGTGGAGTTGATATTTATACAGAGAGAAATTCAGGGCTCTTTAATGAATAAAACTGAGGCTATCTGAATATGTATAAACTGACTTGATTTTATAAACTGTGTGTGTCAGTTTTTAAGACATCTTGTTTTCCAGTATGTACTTCCAACTCTAGTTTGTATCTTTTTTTCATATTACTTCGTAAAATAGATTTTGTGAAGCCTATGTAGTGATGGTGTGTGTATCTGTCTTTATATAGAGAGGATAACCTCTTGAAATAATTTTCTATTTTTCACAAAAATATTTATATCACATTTGGTCTCCTGTTATTTGAGAGACTACTTTGTTGTGGTTATAAAAAGTGTGCTTGATTAAACAAGAAAATGTTTTTTTGTTTGTTTGTGTTTTTTGGTGCCAGGTATCGAACTTGGGTCTTTGCTATTGCAAGGCAAGCAGCAGAACCACTGAGCTAATTCCCAGGCCCTGAAAATGGCTATTGTAGAAAATATTAATTTTCTTTTTACATATTGAACCATGTACAATGAGGTTTTCCTCCTCAGTTATGAATATAACTTTTATATATTTGTGATATATAATGTATATATTCTGTGCAATATGTTATATATATATATATATTATGTCATACTGTATATAGCATGATTTAATTTTGATTAAAAATCGTAGTTCACATTTAGCTTTGTGACTAATGCTTATAAAAACGTTTCCTTCATATATATTTCACAATTACATTGTATTTATGAACATAAATTATTTCTGAGCTTTGATATACAATTATTATTATTATTATTATTTTTTTTTATACCAGGGATTGAACTCTGGTCATTACACTTGCAAGGCAGGCCACCGAACCACTCAGCTAAATCCCCGGCCCCAATTATTTTTATTTTAAATGCTGATCTTTTATTGATGCATTATTTTACCTAGATTTTCTGCTACACCAAAAGGAAGACTGATAGTAATTAAATTAAAATTTGAAAATAAAAAGGATTTATATTTTAAAACAGTTACATTTTAAATTATACTCAATTAGCATAGGCAAATAATAGTTTCACTGCAAAAATACTTGCACTAATTTTTTTAATCTATGGAGTTGTACTAACTTTGAAATTTTTTCAATTGAGGAAACAGTAAATGCCGGCTATTGCTATTTAGTTTAATGCCCTTTGACATCATGTATATTCTTTTTTTTTCTTTTTATTGAGTTTACTGGTACAATCTAGGTCTACAAAACAGTTACATTCATTACTGGGATGTATATTATTTTGATATAATGTATATTCTTTTTTTTTCTTTGATATAAATAGCCTTCCTTTTATCTTAAATTATGTGAAGTAATCACACTATCATGTAACAGGATACAGTTTTTTTGGTCTTCTGCTTAGTCAATTAGAAGTACTGTGTTTGTAAATCCTAATGGTCCAGAATTTTTGTTGTAGAAAAATGATAAAATGAATATGAAATACTGTTATGCTTACCAATCCAATTAATATGTAGTGTATTATTAAAGAGTATAATAATAACATATCTATCCCTTTCAGCTCTTTCAGGTAAAGGATTACATATGAATATAGTCTGTCTCTTGTATCAGTATTTTTACAATTGTAAAAGTACCCAATCGATAACTTTATTTTTAAATACAGTTTCCAGAAAAGCCAGTTGGATAGCCAGAATAATGGCTCCCAGGAGATATACATCCTGATCCCTAGAATCTGTGACTGTACTATTTTTTTAATGAAAACATTTATTGGTACATTTTAGATATACATAATGATAGCATTCATTGCTCATAGGGAATTTGTACCTGTATGTGATACATCTTGCTTCTTTTTTCTCCAATTCCCCGTCCTTCTGTCCACCCCTCCTTATTTACAAAAGATTTGTTTCCATTTTTTTCTGTCTATTCTATTTTTTCTTGTCCTTTCTTTCCTTTCTTCTTACCCCCCCCCTTGTTCCCCTTTTCATTTGAACATTTTCTTCCTATTTCTAACTATCTTTTACGCATTTTGGTCCTTATTTCCACTTTTAGTTTCTCACACCAGAGAAACAATGTGCTATTTAAGTATGTGCTGTGTCCAGTTTGTCTCAGACTATGGTTTTAAGGTATATCCATTTAGCTAGAAATGTCTTCAGCTCATCCTATGTTATGGCAGAGCACTGCTTCATTATATTAAGAAAATCTTCTTTATCCATTTATCAGTTGATGAGCATTTTGACTGTTTCCAAGATTTAGCTGTTGCAAACTGTGCCACTAAAAATACATGGGTGTGCATGTACTGCTGTGGTATGATGCTTTTAATTCTCTCCAGGAAGATACCAAGAAGGGGAATATCTGGGTCACGTGGAATGTCTAGTTTTAGTTTTTTGAGGAGTCTCCACACTGATTTCCACAGTGGTTGTGCCAGTTTACACTCCCACCAGCAGTGGAGAAGAGTTCCTTTTTCTCCCACATCCCTTCCAGTGTTTATTATTGATTGATTTCTTGTTAACAGCCATTCTTTCTGGAGAAAGATGGAATCTCAGCATGGTTTTCATTTGCTTCTCTTGAATGACCAGTGATATTGAACATTTTTCATATGTCTGGCATTTCTACTTCCTCATATGAGAAGTGTCCACTCATTTCAGGCACCCATTTTTGGAATGAGTCTAAATTTGAGGAGTCTCATTTTTTTTTTTTTTAGTGCTTTCTATATTCTAGATATTAGCCCTTTGTGTGAGGAACAGCTGGCAATTTTTTTTTCCCACACTGGGTGATCTCTTCATTCTATTGGTGATTTCTTTTTCTGTACAAAAACTTTTTAGTAGGATGAGGTCGCAGTTGTTGATTCTATGTGATATCTCCTGTCCAATCGAAGTTTTGTTCATTAAGTCTTTGCCTACAGGAATGTCTTCATGAGTTCTATCTATTCTACCTTTCAGCAGATTTAGTATTTCTTTTTAATATTTAGATACTTTTATCTGTTTTGATTTTAGTTTCGTGCATAATGAAAAAGAGGGGTGTAGGTTTAATCTTCAGCCTGTGGAATACCAGTTTTTCCACTTATTAAAGAGGCTTTCTTCCAGTTAAAATGTTTGGGCCTTTTTTCAAAGATAAGGTGGCTGAGTGTATTTGGAGTTGTTTCTGGATCCTCTTATCTGTTCCATTGATCCTCAGGTTGTTTTTTTGTTTGTTTGTTTTGTTTTTTGCCAGTATCACACTTTTTATCAAGACAGCTTTATAGTGTAATTTCAGATGAGAGATTGTGATTCTCCATGCCTTACCTTGGTTGCCAGAATTGCTTTTACTGTTCTCTTCCTCTTCTGGTTCCAAATGAAATGTATGATTTTTTCTCTCTAATACTGTGAGATATGTTATTGGTATCTTGATCGGGATTGCAGTAAATCTGTATAACAGTTTTGGAAATATGGCCATTTTCATCATATTGCTTCTCCCTACACAAGAACAAGGGATATCTTCCCATTTTATGATGTCCTCTTTGATCTCCTTTTTCAGAGAGAAAACTAGTTTTCCATCTAAACAACTCTTACTTCTTTTGTTAGATGATTCCTGAGTATTTCATTTTTTTGATGCTATTGTGAAATGTATTGTTTCCCTAATTACTCTCTCAGTGAGTTCGTTTTTTATATACAGGAATGCTGCTGATTTTTGAGTGTTGACTTTGTATGTGGGTGTGATATTTTAAATGACAAAAGGGAATTAGAGTTTCATTTGCAAAAATTGCTAATCAACT